ACAGTGGGATGGAGTCGCTGAGGGGAGGAGAGGGAGAGGGGGAGAGGAGGAAAGGAGTTAAGAGGGGGGAGGGAGGAGACAGGGAGTGGTGGGGAGAGGAGTGAGGGGAGGGGACGGGGTAGTGTGGGGAGAGGCGGGGATGGTGAGGGAGGAAGTGAGTGGGGGGGAGGGGGGGGGGAGGAGGGAGGAAGGGAGTGGGGGAGGGAGGAGGGAGAGAGGAGTGGTGGGAGAGAGGGAGAGGGGAGAAGGAGACAGGAGTGGTGGGGAAGGAGAGGGGGAGGGGGGAGGGGAGGGGGAGGAGGGGGGAGAGAGGGGAGAGGGAGGGAGGAGAGAGTGGGGGAGAGAGGGGAAGGGAGAGAGGGAGAAGGAGTGGTGGGGAGAGAGGGGAGGGGGAGGGGAGACAGGGAGTGGTGGGGAGAGGAAGGGGAAGGAGAGAGGAGATGGTGGGGAAGAGGAGAGGAGGAGACAGGAAGTGGTGGGGAGAGAGGGGAGAGGAGGAGACAAGGAGTGGTGGGGAGAGAGTGAGGGGAGGGGGAAGGGAGGGAAGGAGACAGGTCATTAACATCAACCTCACTCACATAGAAAGACCTGAGAACACTAGGGCTCTGTCTCATTTCCTCGTCCCATCCTCTCTCCACACCGCTTTCTCACAATCCATTGGAGGAGAAGATCAGAGATGACTCCCCTCTGACTTTTGAGGAGGAGGCGAGGAGATGGGGATATATATACTTGAGAAAAGGCTTAGCACTCACAGCTTAAACAGGAAGCTTATCTAACACAATCACCAGATAGAATCTGATAAAACTCCCTTTAAAACATTTGTTTGACTACACTGTGTGCTTGCTAGTGCAGGCAGGACTGGCAGGACAGGACAGGATAGTGTAGAGCAGGAAAGGGCAGGACAGGACAGGGTCAGAGGAAGGAGCTGGTATACAGCGAAGGACAGGCAAGGGGATCAGCAGGAAGGACGAAAGCTGGTACAGCGCAGGATCAAGGAGCAGGACAGGACAGGATCAGAGGAAGGAGCTGGTACACAGCAGGACAGGATCAGAGGAAGGAGCTGGTATACAGCAGGACAGGATCAGAGGAAGGAGCTGGTACACAGCAGGACAGGATCAGAGGAAGGAGCTGGTATACAGCAGGACAGGATCAGAGGAAGGAGTTGGTACACAGCAGGACAGGACAGGACAGGATCAGAGGAAGGAGCTGGTATACAGCATGACAGGACAGGATCAGAGGAAGGAGCTGGTACACAGCAGGACAGGATCGGAGGAAGGAGCTGGTATACAGCAGGACAGGATCAGAGGAAGGAGTTGGTACACAGCAGGACAGGACAGGACAGGATCAGAGGAAGGAGCTGGTATACAGCAGGACAGGACAGGATCAGAGGAAGGAGCTGGTATACAACAGGACAGGGTCAGAGGAAGGAGCTGGTATACAGCAGGACAGGACAGGATCAGAGGAAGGAGCTGGTACACAGCAGGACAGGACAAGATCAGAGGAAGGAGCTGGTATACAGCAGGACAGGACAGGACAGGGTCAGAGGAAGGAGCTGGTATACAGCAGGACAGGACAGGGTCAGAGGAAGGAGCTGGTATACAGCAGGACAGGACAGGGTCAGAGGAAGGAGCTGGTATACAGCAGGACAGGACAGGATCAGAGGAAGGAGCTGGTACAAGGCAGGACAGGACAGGTCAGAGGAAGGAGCTGGTATACAGCAGGACAGGACAGGATCAGAGGAAGGAGCTGGTACAAGGCAGGACAGGACAGAGTCAGAGGAAGGAGCTGGTATACAGCAGGACAGGACAGGACAGGGTCAGAGGAAGGAGCTGGTACAAGGCAGGACAGGACAGATCAGAGGAAGGAGCTGGTATACAGCAGGACAGGACAGGATCAGAGGAAGGAGCTGGTATACAGGCAGGACAGGACAGGATCAGAGGAAGGAGCTGGTATACAGCAGGACAGGACAGGACAGGATCAGAGGAAGGAGCTGGTACACAGCAGGACAGGACAGGATCAGAGGAAGGAGCTGGTATACAGAGGACAGGATCAAAGAGGATGACAGGACAGATCAGAGGAAGGAGCTGGTATACAGCAGGACAGGACAGGGTCAGAGGAAGGAGCTGGTATAAGGCAGGACATGGACAGGGTCAGAGGAAGGAGCTGGTATACAGCAGGACAGGACAGGATCAGAGGAAGGAGCTGGTATACAGCAGGACAGGATCAGAGGAAGGAGCTGGTATACAGCAGGACAGGACAGGGTCAGAGGAAGGAGCTGGTACAGCAGGCAGGACGAGGAACAGGAAGGAGGTCAGAGGAAGGAGCTGGTAACCAGACAGCAAGGACAGAGGAGCAGAGGCAGGATCAGAGGAAGGAGCTGGTACACAGCAGGACAGGATCAGGAAACGAACAGCAGGTAGAGGAGCTGGTATACAGCAGGACAGGACAGGATCAGACGAAGGAGCTGGTACACAGCAGGACAGGACAGGATCAGAGGAAGGAGCTGGTATACAGCAGGACAGGACAGGATCAGAGGAAGGAGCTGGTATACAGCAGGACAGGATCAGAGGAAGGAGCTGGTATACAGCAGGACAGGATCAGAGGAAGGAGCTGGTAAACAGCAGGACAGGACAGGACAGGGTCAGAGGAAGGAGCTGGTATACAGGACAGGACAGGACAGGATCAGAGGAAGGACGCTGGATTTACACAGGACAGGACAGGATCAGAGGAAGGAGCTGGTATACACAGGACAGGACAGGTCAGAGGAAGGAGTGGTACACAGCAGGACAGGACAGGGTCAGAGGAAGGAGCTGGTATACAGCAGGGACAGGACAGGGTCAGAGGAAGGAGCTGGTATACGCAGGACAGGACAGGTCAGAGGAAGGAGCTGATATACAGCAGGACAGGACAGGGTCAGAGGAAGGAGCTGGTACACAGCAGGACAGGATCAGAGGAAGGAGCTGGTACACAGCAGGACAGGATCAGAGGAAGGAGCTGGTACACAGCAGGACAGGATCAGAGGAAGGAGCTGGTATACAGCAGGACAGGACAGGATCAGAGGAAGGAGCTGGTATACAGCAGGACAGGACAGGTCAGAGGAAGGAGCTGGTATACAGCAGGACAGGATCAGAGGAAGGAGCTGATATACAGCAGGACAGGACAGGGTCAGAGGAAGGAGCTGGTACACAGCAGGACAGGATCAGAGGAAGGAGCTGGTACACAGCAGGACAAGGGAGCTTCAGGGACAGAGGAAGGAGCTGGTAACAGCAGGACAGGATCAGAGGAAGGAGCTGGTAACACAGCAGGACAGGATCAGGAAGGAGTGGTACAGCAGGAAGTCAGAGGAAGGAGCTGGTAACAGCAGGACAGGTAGGAGGAGTGATACAGCAGGACAGGTCAGAGGAGGAGCTGTAACAGCAGGAAGGAAGTCAGAGGAAGGAGCGTATACAGCAGGACAGGATCAGAGGAAGGAGCTGGTATACAGCAGGACAGGACAGGGTCAGAGGAAGGAGCTGGTATACAGCAGGACAGGATCAGAGGAAGGAGCTGATATACAGCAGGACAGGACAGGATCAGAGGAAGGAGCTGGTACACAGCAGGACAGGATCAGAGGAAAGGTAAGAAAGTCAGAGAAGGGCTGGTACACAGCAGGACAGGGTCAGAGGAAGGAGCTGGTATACAGCAGGACAGGAGGTCAGAGGAAGGAGCTGGTACACAGCAGGACAGGGTCAGAGGAAGGAGCTGGTACACAGCAGGACAGGATCAGAGGAAGGAGCTGGTATACAGCAGGACAGGGTCAGAGGAAGGAGCTGGTATACAGCAGGACAGGACAGGTCAGAGGAAGGAGCTGGTACACAGCAGGACAGGATCAGAGGAAGGAGCTGGTACACAGCAGGGCAGGACAGGATCAGAGGAAGGAGCTGGTATACAGCAGGACAGGGTCAGAGGAAGGAGTTGGTACACAGCAGGACAGGGTCAGAGGAAGGAGCTGGTACACAGCAGGACAGGACAGGGTCAGAGGAAGGAGCTGGTACACAGCAGGACAGGATCAGAGGAAGGAGCTGGTACACAGCAGGACAGGATCAGAGGAAGGAGCTGGTATACAGCAGGACAGGGTCAGAGGAAGGAGCTGGTACACAGCAGGACAGGACAGGGTCAGAGGAAGGAGCTGGTACAAGGCAGGACAGGACAGGATCAGAGGAAGGAGCTGGTATACAGCAGGACAGGACAGGACAGGATCAGAGGAAGGAGCTGGTACACAGCAGGACAGGACAGGATCAGACGAAGGAGCTGGTATACAGCAGGACAGGACAGGACAGGATCAGACGAAGGAGCTGGTATACAGCAGGACAGGACAGGATCAGAGGAAGGAGCTGGTACACAGCAGGACAGCAGATCAGAGGAAGGAGCTGGTATCACAGCAGGACAGGATCAGAGAAGGAGCTGGTTACAGCAGGACAGGATCAGAGGAAGGAGCTGGTACACAGCAGGACAGGACAGTCAGGAAGGAGCTGGTAACAGCAGGACAGAGACAGGGTCAGAGGAAGGAGCTGGTATACAGCAGACAGGACAGGATCAGAGGAAGGAGCTGTACACAGGACAGGATCAGAGGAAGGAGCTGGTATACAGCAGGACAGGACGTCAGAGGAAGGAGCTGTACACAGCAGGACAGGAGTCAGAGGAGGAGCTGGTACACAGCAGGACAGGATCAGAGGAAGAGCTGAATACAGCAGGAAGGACGGTCAGAGAAGGAGCTGGTATACAGCAGGACAGGTCAGAGGAAGGAGCTGTATACAGCAGGACAGGCAGGTCAAGGAAGGAGCTGGTATACAGCAGGACAGGTCAAGGAAGGAGCGGTACACAGAGACAGGTCAGAGGAAGAGCTGTACCAGCAGGACAGGTCAGAGGAAGGACGTAAAAGAGGACAGGACAGATCAGAGAAGAGCTGGTATACAGCAGGAAGGATCAGAGGAAGGAGTGGTTACAGCAGACAGACAGGGTCAGGAGAGCTGGTAACAGCAGGACAGGTCAGAGGAAGAGCTGGTATACACAGACAGGACAGGGTCGAGAAGAGCTGGTATACAGCAGACAGGATCAGAGGAGGAGCTGTATACACAGACAGGACAGTCAGAGAGAGCTGTACACAGCAGGACGGTCAGAGAGAGCTGGTATACAGCAGACAGGTCAGAGGAAGGAGTGGACACAGCAGGACAGGTCAGAGAAGAGTGGTAACCAGAGGACGGGTCAGAGGAAGGAGCTGTACACAGCAGGACAGGTCAGGAGGAGCTGTAACAGCAGACTCAAGAAGCTGTAAGAGGACAGTAGAGAGGCTGTACACCGACAAACAGAGAAGAGCTGTACAGCAACCAGAGGATGTCACACAGCATCAGAAGACTCACCGACAAGAAGCTTACACCACAGAAGGTCAGAAGTGGTACTACTTGTAGATACAAATTAATCGACAGAGCAGGCATTAGGACCTGAAAGGGTCACCTGTAAAGGTACTAAGAACCACACAACCAGGATCTTCTTTATTGCATTGTACACCTCTGTTTCTAAGAGCCCACAAGATTCTACATTAACACTGTACTCTGTACTTAGAGAACAAATGTAGCTCTTCCTGAGATTCAATCGTGTTCAAAGAATGTTCTTTAGACAGAACCAAATCTCGGTATCAATAATCTTAAACCGTCTAATCTCCTGTTACTTAGATCTCTTACATATGTTTCTACAGAACTCTTCTAAAGAAAAGAGTTCGTATACGCGAATTGAAGCTTCCTAGAATAACTCTCTTGGATCTTCCTGACATGGAGTCTTCTAGGAAGTTCCTACATTGAGATTAAGACTTCTGTTACTTAAACGAGGCTTTCTTATTGGACAAGTTGAGGTAGCCTAGGCCCTTCCTGTTTGTCTAATGACTACAGCCCAGCATTATAAACAGATCTGGGACCAGTCTAGAGCAGAGCAGCATTAGGACCCAGCTGCAAAGCATTATGGTGGTCATATCCTGTTAGAAGAACTGGACTTCAGGAGAACCCACACATTAGACCTCATCAAGGCTAGTCATGTCTCAGCTGTGATTAGGTATTCAGGCAGATCTGGCACTGGTCACTCCAACACACAATCACTGTTCTCTTCTCTCTCACACGCACGCACGAACGCACACAAACCCCAGAGCCATGATGCAATAAAAGTCTTTACCACCACAAGTCTATATCATGACACTGTATCAAACCTTCCAGCCTATCATACATACAAATCAATCAGAGTTATCTTCAGATCCAGAAATACAATCTATTTCTATGGTAGAAAAGACCCCTCACCTGTCAGAATGGTCTGGAAGGATGTCTCCACGTTAGTAGAGTCCAGGGCTGAAGTCTCCAGGAAAGACAAGCCGTTCTTCTCTGAGGGACAGAGGGAAACAGTAAACCATGTCAATCACTACTGTGTTGAGGTCTCTACCATTAATCTTCAAGACGTCTTCCTGTTACATTAGAGATGTCTTCCTGTTACATTAGAGATATCTTCCTGTTACATTAGAGACGTCTTCCTGTTACATTAGAGATGTCTTCCTGTTACATTAGAGACGTCTTCCTGTTACATTAGAGACGTCTTCCTGCTACATTAGAGACGTCTTCCTGTTACATTAGAGATGTCTTCCTGTTACATTAGAGACGTCTTCCTGTTACATTAGAGACGTCTTCCTGCTACATTAGAGACGTCTTCCTGTTACATTAGAGACGTCTTCCTGTTACATTTGAGACATCTTCCTGTTACATTAGAGACATCTTCCTGTTACATTAGAGATGTCTTCCTGTTACATTAGAGACGTCTTCCTGCTACATTAGAGATGTCTTCCTGCTACATTAGAGATGTCTTCCTGTTACATTAGAGATGTCTTCCTGTTACATTAGAGATGTCTTCCTGTTACATCAGAGATGTCTTCCTGTTACATTAGAGATACAGTGCCTTGCAAAAGTATTCATCCCCCTTGGCGTTTTTCCTATTTTGTTGCGTTACAACCTGTAATTTAAATGGATTTTTATTTGGATTTTATGTAATGGACATACACAAAATAGTCAAAATTGGTGAAGTGAAATGAAAAAAATAACTTGTTTCAAAATATTCTACAAAATAAATAACGGAAAAGTGGTGCGTGCATATGTATTCACCCCCTTTGCTATGAAGCCCCTAAATAAGATCTGGTGCAACCAATTACCTTCAGAAGTCACATTATTAGTTAAATAAAGTCCAATCTAAGTGTTACATAATCTGTCACATGATCTCAGTATATATACACCTGCTCTGAAAGGCCCCAGAGTCTGCAACACCACTAAGCAAGGGGCACCACCAAGCAAGCGGCACCATGAAGACCAAGGAGCTCTCCAAACAGGTCAGGGACAAAGTTGTGGAGAAGTACAGATCAGGGTTGGGTTATAAAAAAATATCAGAAACTTTGAACATCCCACAGAGCACCATTAAATCCATTAATAGAAAATGGAAAGAATATGGCACCACAACAAACCTGCCAAGAGAGGGCCGCCCACCAAAACTCACAGACCAGGCAAGGAGGGCATTAATCAGAGAGGCAACAAAGAGACCAAACATAACCCTGAAGGAGCTGCAAAGCTCCACAGCGGAGATTGGAGTATCTGTCCATAGGACCACTTTAAGCCGTACACTCCACAGAGCTGGGCTTTACGGAAGAGTGGGCAGAAAAAAGCCATTGCTTAAAGAAAAAAATAAGCAAACACATTTCGTGTTCGCCAAAAGGCATGTGGGAGGCTCCCCAAACATATGGAAGAAGGTACTCTGGTCAGATGAGACTAAAATTTAGCTTTTTGGCCATCAAGGAAAATGCTATGTCTGGCGCAAACCCAACACCTCTCATCACCCCAAGAACACCATCCCCACAGTGAAGTATGGTGGTGGCAGCATCATGCTGTGGGGATGTTTTTCCATCGGCAGGGACTGGGAAACTGGTTAGAATTGAAGGAATGATGGATGGCGCTAAATACAGGGAAATTCTTGAGGGAAACCGGTTTCAGTCTTCCAGAGATTTGAGACTGGGACCGAGGTTCACCTTTCCAGCAGGACAATGACCCTAAGCATACTGCTAAAGCAAAATTTGAGTGGTTTAAGGGGAAACATTTAAATGTCTTGGAATGGCCTAGTCAAAGCCCAGACCTCAATCCAATTGAGAATCTGTGGTATGACTTAAAGATTGCTGTACACCAGCATAACCCATCCTACTTAAAGGAGTTGGAGCAGTTTTACCTTGAAAAATGGTAAATCCCAGTGGCTAGATGTGCCAAGCTTATAGAGACATACCCCAAGAGACTTGCAGCTGTAATTGCTGCAAAAGGTGGCTCTACAAAGTATTGACTTTGGGGGGGGGGGTGACTAGTTATGCACACTCAAGTTTTCTGTTTTTTTGTCTTATTTCTTGTTTGTTTCACCAAAAAATTATTTTGCATCTTCAAAGTGGTAGGCATGTTGTGTAAATCAAATGATACAAACCCCCCCCAAAAATCATTTTTAATTTAAAATGCCAAGGGGGGTGAATACTTTCGCAAGCCACTGTATCTTCCTATTTGGATAAGTAAACCATGATAACTAACAGCAACTCATGGGTAAGGAAAATAATGAAAAAGTTAACACCACTACTCCTAGATCTCTTTCTGTATGAGTTGGTACTGCACTAAGCTGCGTCGTCGGTGGGCACAGCCCTGAGGGGGCACAGATCACTCTTATTGTCTGGCCCATGCCACCCACACCCACACTGACCTGCGAATGTCCTTGCCTCGTCGGTGGGCACAGCCCTGAGGTGGCGCAGGTCACTCTTGTTGCCGACCAGCATGATGACGATGTTGCTGTCTGCATGGTCTCTCAGCTCCTTCAGCCAACGCTCCACGTTTTCATAGGTCAGGTGCTTGGCGATGTCATAGACCAACAAGGCCCCCACCGCGCCACGGTAATACCTGAGGATGCAGAGGATGCAGAGTTAGGGGAGTTGGGATCAAAGGTGACAAACAGAGATGGTCTATATCGTGTTGTTAGAAACTAGAACTAAACCTTGTAACAGGCTTTGAAATAGCCTAAATACATTGGTCCATGCTTTCTAGAAGAACCCGTTCATTCTGATGGAAAGTTTAAAATGTCTCAAATAAGTCAGGATGTCTATCTGTGATAGGTCCAGTCTAAAACTGAAACCAACATATTAGGTCTATGAGTTGGACTGACTCTCCAACTAAATGCATTAGGCCTATGAGTTGGACTGACTCTCCAACTAAATGCATTAGGCCTATGAGTTGGACTGACTCTCCAACTAAATGCATTAGGCCTATGAGTTGGACTGACTCTCCAACTAAATGCATTAGGTCTATGAGTTGGACTGACTCTCCAACTAAATGCATTAGGCCTATGAGTTGGACTGACTCTCCAACTAAATGCATTAGGCCTAGGAGTTGGAGACTGACTCTCCAACTAAATGCAATTAGGCCTATGAGTGTGGACTGACCGCAACTAAATTCATTAGGGCCGATGAGTTGGACTGACTCCCAACTAAAATGCATTAGGCCTATGAGTTGGACTGACTCTTCCAACTAATGCCTTAGGCCTATGAGTTGGACTGACCCAACTAATGGCATTAGGCCTATGAGTTTGGACTGACTCACCAACTAAATGCACTTAGGCCTATGAGTTGGACTGACTCTCCCAAATAAATGCATTAGGCCTATGAGTTGGACTGACTCTCCAAATAAATGCATTAGGCTATTGAGTTGGACTGACTCTCCAACTAAATGCATTAGGCCTATGAGTTGGACTGACTCACCAAACTAAATGGCCATTAGGCCTATGAGTGGACTGACTCTCCAACTAAATGCATTAGCCTATGAGTGGACTGACTTCTCCAACTAAATGCATTTAGGCCTATGAGTTGGACTGACTCTCCCAACTAAATGCATTAGGCCTATGAGTTGGACTGACTCTCCAACTAAATGCATTAGGCCTATGAGTTGGACTGACTCTCCAACTAAAGCATTAGGCCTATGAGTTGGACTGACTCTCCAACTAAATCATTAGGCCTATGAGTTGGACTGACTCTCCAACTAAATGCATTAGGCCTATGAGTTGGACTGACTCTCCAACTAAATGCATTAGGCCTATGAGTTGGACTGACTCTCCAACTAAATGCATTAGGCCTATGAGTTGGACTGACTCTCCAACTAAATGCATTAGGCCTATGAGTTGGACTGACTCTCCAACTAAATGCATTAGGTCTATGAGTTGGACTGACTCTCCAACTAAATGCATTAGGTCTATGTGTTGGACTATGCATGATACTTTCATATGATTTTTGAAGTTTAATAGTCAACATTTCGGAAGGTCAGTATTTCCATGAAAAATAGGGTGTTTCAAAGTGTTTTCCAAATGGGCCCAATCCCCAGACTCACGCTGACGTTATAGCCCGGTATCTTTCCTGACCAGCCGTGTCCCAGATCTGGGCCTTCACCGTCTTGCCGTCCACCTGGATACTGCGGGTGGCAAACTCCACCCCGATGGTGCTCTTACTCTCCAGGTTAAACTCATTCCGGGTGAAACGAGACAATAGGTTACTCTTCCCCACACCAGAGTCTCCGATCAACACCACTGGGACAGAGACAAAGAGACAGGTTAGAGTCAATTCAAAACAACGTAATGTATCCCCTGATTTCCCCTCACATTGAAGAAGGCAGTCAGTTTACAACAAACATCCTCTAGATATATTACAGTAGGAATATAAAACAACAGACATCGCATACATCAATACAATACACCCCCTTATTGTACAATAAAGAAATAGTATTTATCTGAATCTAAATGTGCTTTGACCGGATTACCATCATATGCTAACAACTAACAAGCAGGAGCCCATTCATTATGATGTAGAATAGGAAGCTGAATAGGAAGCTGTTGTTGGGGAGGATTTGAGACAAAATATCTAAAGGAGCGTATTATTAAACCGTTTCTTATCCACATGTGGACTTATTTTGACATGAGGTAATAACATTCATAATAATAATATGGTGGGTGCTTATACTACAAGTGTGTAATGAAAACGTGTTTTTCTCTGCATATCCCAACTCCCCCTGAGACACCAGCAGAAAGTGGGGATACAGCCAGGGTAACCATTGTACAGCACCCTGGAGAAACAGATATTTCGCCTTGTCAGCTCTGGTTTTCGGTTCCTGGCCCAACGCGCTAACCTCAGAGAGCAAGTGGGTCTACAACAGACCCACGTTTGGAACATCTTTAATAATACCATCTTTAATAATACCATCGTTGAGCTATTTTGTCTCAAATTCCCCCTGTCATAATGACCAACCGTCCTGCCCACCGGCATAGCGTATTGAAATGGATTTCTATTTGACTTCTGTCTTTCCACTACCAGTTTTCTGTGCAACCCAACACAATTGAAAGCAAGGCTAGTGCACCTAAATACACCCGCGTTGCTAACAGCACCTAGCTAGGAAGAAGCCGTTTGATCCTATGGCATGATGATGAAGCCGCTGTTAGTATGGTACATAGCTAGCTAGTAGACATGACATCACAGAGCTAGCTATAACGTTTAGGTAGCTGGAGCAACTAGCTATGGTTTCAGTAGCTAGCTAACTAAGTTAACGTTAGCTATGTGGTCATTTGGCAAAGTAGCTGGTTAACTAGATGGCTGTTACTGGTGTAAAATCTAACTACCGTTAGTTGTTTATTTCCTGCCGGTAACGTTGCCGCACTCCAGCTAACTGGCCAACAAGCTAAATACAAATCATCAACGGCTGTTAGTTAGCATTATTGCGAATATCAAGACAATGACCCAATAGCTATATTTATATCCAATAATATCCAAACGCCCTCCTTTTAAGTTCGCAGGATATCAGGCTAAAGTCAGCTGGCTGCAAATGCGTAGCGTTAGCTAACCGCTAACTAGCTTAGCTTCCTGTGCCGTAGCCAGGCGACCACTCCCAGCAAACTCGGATTACATCACATTTTATGGACAGGTAACGTTATGTCAGATTTAGTATAAATGTACCTTTAAATAAGTAATCATACTCGTCGTCTCTATTCCCCATTCTGAATTTAAAAAATTAAGGAGATGTTCGATGTCTTTGAATCCAAGTGGCACCGTCCCTTTCCTTTCTTCCTCGGTCCTATCGGTTATTCTACCTTAGTGGTGTTATCCTGCCTGGCACTGCAATGCACTGCAGCCAGAGCCTTGTCGTTTAACCTTAGTGGTGTTATCCTGCCTGGCACTGCAATGCACTGCAGCCAGAGCCTTGTCGTTTAACCTTAGTGGTGTTATCCTGCCTGGCACTGCAATGCACTGCAGCCAGAGCCTTGTCGTTTAACCTTAGTGGTGTTATCCTGCCTGGCACTGCAATACACTGCTGCCAGAGCCTTGTCGTTTAAACCTTAGTGGTGTTATCCTGCCTGGCACTGCAATGCACTGCAGCCAGAGCCTTGTCGTTTAACCTTAGTGGTGTTATCCTGCCTGGCACTGCAATGCACTGCAGCCAGAGCCTTGTCGTTTAACCTTAGTGGTGTTATCCTGCCTGGCACTGCAATGCACTGCAGCCAGAGCCTTGTCGTTTAACCTTAGTGGTGTTATCCTGCCTGGCACTGCAATGCACTGCAGCCAGAGCCTTGTCGTTTAACCTTAGTGGTGTTATCCTGCCTGGCACTGCAATGCACTGCAGCCAGAGCCTTGTCGTTTAACCTTAGTGGTGTTATCCTGCCTGGCACTAGACTGCAATTAACCTGCTGCCAGAGCCTTGTCGTTTAACCTTAGTGGTGTTATCCTGCCTGGCACTGCAATGCACTGCAGCCAGAGCCTTGTCGTTTAACCTTAGTGGTGTTATCCTGCCTGGCACTGCAATGCACTGCAGCCAGAGCCTTGTCGTTTAACCTTAGTGGTGTTATCCTGCCTGGCACTGCAATGCACTGCAGCCAGAGCCTTGTCGTTTAACCTTAGTGGTGTTATCCTGCCTGGCACTGCAATGCACTGCAGCCAGAGCCTTGTCGTTTAACCTTAGTGGTGTTTATCCTGCCTGGCACTGCAATGCACTGCAGCCAGAGCCTTGTCGTTTAACCTTAGTGGTGTTATCCTGCCTGGCACTGCAATGCACTGCAGCCAGAGCCTTGTCGTTTAACCTAGTGGTGTTATCCTGCCTGGCACTGCAATGCACTGCAGCCAGAGCCTTGTCGTTTAACCTAGTGGTGTTATCCTGCCTGGCACTGCAATGCACTGCAGCCAGAGCCTTGTCGTTTAACCTTAGTGGTGTTATCCTGCCTGGCACTGCAATGCACTGCTGCCAGAGCCTTGTCGTTTAACCTAGTGGTGTTATCCTGCCTGGCACTGCAATACACTGCAGCCAGAGCCTTGTCGTTTAACCTAGTGGTGTTATCCTGCCTGGCACTGCAATGCACTGCTGCCAGAGCCTTGTCGTTTAACCTTAGTGGTGTTATCCTGCCTGGCACTGCAATACACTGCTGCCAGAGCCTTGTCGTTTAACCTTAGTGGTGTTATCCTGCCTGGCACTGCAATGCACTGCAGCCAGAGCCTTGTCGTTTAACCTAGTGGTGTTATCCTGCCTGGCACTGCAATACACTGCTGCCAGAGCCTTGTCGTTTAACCTTAGTGGTGTTATCCTGCCTGGCACTGCAATGCACTGCAGCCAGAGCCTTGTCGTTTAACCTAGTGGTGTTATCCTGCCTGGCACTGCAATACACTGCTGCCAGAGCCTTGTCGTTTAACCTTAGTGGTGTTATCCTGCCTGGCACTGCAATGCACTGCAGCCAGAGCCTTGTCGTTTAACCTAGTGGTGTTATCCTGCCTGGCACTGCAATGCACTGCTGCCAGAGCCTTGTCGTTTAACCTTAGTGGTGTTATCCTGCCTGGCACTGCAATACACTGCTGCCAGAGCCTTGTCGTTTAACCTTAGTGGTGTTATCCTGCCTGGCACTGCAATGCACTGCAGCCAGAGCCTTGTCGTTTAACCTAGTGGTGTTATCCTGCCTGGCACTGCAATACACTGCTGCCAGAGCCTTGTCGTTTAACCTTAGTGGTGTTATCCTGCCTGGCACTGCAATGCACTGCAGCCAGAGCCTTGTCGTTTAACCTAGTGGTGTTATCCTGCCTGGCACTGCAATGCACTGCTGCCAGAGCCTTGTCGTTTAACCTTAGTGGTGTTATCCTGCCTGGCACTGCAATACACTGCTGCCAGAGCCTTGTCGTTTAACCTTAGTGGTGTTATCCTGCCTGGCACTGCAATGCACTGCAGCCAGAGCCTTGTCGTTTAACCTAGTGGTGTTATCCTGCCTGGCACTGCAATACACTGCTGCCAGAGCCTTGTCGTTTAACCTTAGTGGTGTTATCCTGCCTGGCACTGCAATGCACTGCAGCCAGAGCCTTGTCGTTTAACCTTAGTGGTGTTATCCTGCCTGGCACTGCAATGCACTGCTGCCAGAGCCTTGTCGTTTAACCTAGTGGTGTTATCCTGCCTGGCACTGCAATACACTGCAGCCAGAGCCTTGTCGTTTAACCTAGTGGTGTTATCCTGCCTGGCACTGCAATGCACTGCTGCCAGAGCCTTGTCGTTTAACCTAGTGGTGTTATCCTGCCTGGCACTGCAATGCACTTGTCGTTTAACCTTAGTGGTGTGATCCTGCCTGGCACTGCAATGCACTGCAGCCAGAGCCTTGTCGTTTAACCTAGTGGTGTTATCCTGCCTGGCACTGCAATACACTGCTGCCAGAGCCTTGTCGTTTGACCTTAGTGGTGTTATCCTGCCTGGCACTGCAATACACTGCTGCCAGAGCCTTGTCGTTTAACCTTAGTGGTGTTATCCTGCCTGGCACTGCAATACACTGCTGCCAGAGCCTTGTCGTTTAACCTAGTGGTGTTATCCTGCCTGGCACTGCAATACACTGCAGCCAGAGCCTTGTCGTTTAACCTTAGTGGTGTTATCCTGCCTGGCACTGCAATGCACTGCAGCCAGAGCCTTGTCGTTTAACCTAGTGGTGTTATCCTGCCTGGCACTGCAATGCACTGCAGCCAGAGCCTTGTCGTTTAACCTTAGTGGTGTTATCCTGCCTGGCACTGCAATGCACTGCTGCCAGAGCCTTGTCGTTTAACCTAGTGGTGTTATCCTGCCTGGCACTGCAATACACTGCAGCCAGAGCCTTGTCGTTTAACCTAGTGGTGTTATCCTGCCTGGCACTGCAATGCACTGCTGCCAGAGCCTTGTCGTTTAACCTTAGTGGTGTTATCCTGCCTGGCACTGCAATGCACTGCTGCCAGAGCCTTGTCGTTTAACCTTAGTGGTGTTATCCTGCCTGGCACTGCAATGCACTGCAGCCAGAGCCTTGTCGTTTAACCTAGTGGTGTTATCCTGCCTGGCACTGCAATGCACTGCAGCCAGAGCCTTGTCGTTTAACCTTAGTGGTGTTATCCTGCCTGGCACTGCAATGCACTGCTGCCAGAGCCTTGTCGTTTAACCTAGTGGTGTTATCCTGCCTGGCACTGCAATACACTGCAGCCAGAGCCTTGTCGTTTAACCTAGTGGTGTTATCCTGCCTGGCACTGCAATGCACTGCTGCCAGAGCCTTGTCGTT